AGGGGCTGGGGTTGTGGCTCAGTGGTGGAGCGCTCACCTAGCACGCTTGAGCTACTGGGTTTGATCCTCAGCACCACATAAAAATAAAATAAAGGGATTGTGTCCTCCTACAACTGAAAAACAGACAAACAAACATTAATAAAGCTGGGTGCAATGGTGCACACCTATAATCCAGCAGCTCGGGAGGCTGAGGCCAGAGGATAACGAGTTCAAAGCCAGCCTCAGCAAAAGTGAGGCCCTGAGCAACTCACTGGGACCCTGTCTCTAAATAAAATACAAAACAGGGTTGGGATGTAGCTCAGTGGTGCAATGGCTCTGAGTTCAGTCCCCCGTACCAAAAAAAAAAAAACAAAACAAAACAAAAAAAAAAAAACTAGAAAAAAAAACAGTAATAATAATAAAAAAAACCTTTAGTAAAGTTTGTTGCTATATATTGCTGAATGCTGTTCCATTCTATGTATACACCATGTGAGTATACCAAAAAATTTTAAAAGCCTTTTTAAAAAACTATTTTTTTTAGTTGTAGATAGAAATAATACCTTTATTTTATTTATTTTTATGTGTTGCTGAGAATCAGACCCAGTTCCTCAAACGTGTGAGGCAAGCACTCTACCATTAAGCTGTAATCCAGCCCCAAGTATACTAGATTTTACTAGCTAGTGGACATTTAGATTGTTCTGGCTTTTTGGGCTACTATGAATATTCACATATGTGTCTTTGGATACATGCCTATTTTTATTTGTCTCATGTCGATTCTTAGAGTGAAAATGCTAGGTTACATGGTAAGTTTTTGTATAAATGTCAAACTGTTTTCCAAAGTGATTCTACCTTTTACCATCCGCAGTTTATGAGGGCTTCAGTTTCTCCACGTCTTCACTGATGCTGTTATTATCTGACTTTTTTTTTTTTTAAATCATAGCCAATCTAATAGGTGTATATTGGTGTCTCATTATGGTTTTAATTTGCAGTCCTCTGCTGACTAATGATATGATATGATATGACTAATGATATGATAAGTTTCATGTGCTTTTAACTGTTCATATATCTTCTTTGGTAACATGTCCATTCCGGTCTTTTGTCTATTTGAAAAAATACATCGAATTATCTTTTGAATTTTTTAGTGTAGCTCTTTATATATTCTGCATACAAATTATTAGATATATAATTTGTAAATATTTTCTCTTGGTCTTTGGCTTTATTCTCTTCTCCGTGTGTGTGTGTGTGTGTGTGTGTGTGTGTGTGTGTGTGTTGGGGTTTAAACCTAGGTGCTCAGACATGCTAAGTACTAAGCACATGTTCTTTTTCTGAGCTATATTCCCAGCCCCTTTTTCTTATAGTGTCTCCTAAAAGGCAGAGATTTTAAAACTTTTTTTTTTTTTTTAAAGAGAGAGAGAGAGAGTGAGAGAGAGAATTTTTAATATTTATTTTTCGGTTTTCGGCGGACACAACATCTTTGTTTGTATGTGGTGCTGAGGATCGAACTTGGGCCACATGCATACCAGGCGAGTGCGCTACCGCTTGAGCCATACCCCCAGCCCAGATTTTAAAACTTGACAGTGACTTTTCATCAGTTTCTTCTCTTGGGATTATGCTCTCAGTGTGTAAGAATATTTTATCCAACCCAATGTCATGAAATTTTCTCCTTTATTTTCTTCTAGAAGATTTAGATTTTTTTTGCCCTTTGTGCAGTAAAGGATCCACATTGCAGGCCTGAGACTGCTATCCTTAGGCAGGCCTGTTGGCAAGACTGGCTCTGGGTTCATGGCTGGAAACTTAGATTTTCGGAGGGTTCCCATCCTCCCGGTCTGATATGAGTGGCTCACCATGCCAACACTGTACAAATGATGTGTTGTGTGGAACTACCTCCTTCCCTTCCGGGAATTAGAATTTTGGAATTTTTCTAGGTGGAGGTGCCTGCTTGATCAGCCCCCARTAAAAATTCTGGATACTGCATCTCAAACAAGCTTTCCTGAGAGATGGCATTTCATATGGGTTGTCACAGCTCATTACTGGAGGAATTAAATGTGACCTGCATAAAACTCCACTGGGAGAGAACTCTTAAAAGCCTGTGCCAGCCTTCCTTCAAGACCTCTCACACCCCTTTGCTTTGTTATCTCTTTGCTCTGATAAATCCAAGCAATGAGTTCTGCCAGTCATAGTAGCATATCAGTTGCTGAACCTGGGTATCATGGTTGGGATATGTGGTGTCCCCAGAAAATGCCATGTGTGAGACAATGCCATATTCAGAAGTGAAATGATGAGATTATGAGAGTTGTGACCTAATCAGTGAATTAACCCACTGACCTAGATTAACTAGGTAGAAACTAGAGGCAGATAGGGTGTGGCTGGAGGAGGTGGGTCGGTGGGGGTGTGCCTTTGGGGTTTCTGTTTTGTCCCCTCTGCTTGGTGGTTCCGTGTCCTGAGCTGCTTTCCTCCACCACACCYTTCCACCATGATGTCTGTCTCACTTTGGGCTCAGAGCTGTGGAGTCAGCCATCTAAGGACTGAGCCTCTGAAAATGTGAGCCAGAATAAAATTCTCCTCCCTGTTTGTTCTTGTCAGGTATTTCAATCACAACGATGAAGAAAGCTGACTAAAACACTGGGGGTGGTCCTGGGGACCCGGACATAACTATGAATGTCTAATTGCTTTAGCATCAGTTGTTAAAAAGACTATCTTTCCCCCGCTTCTAACTGTCCTGGCACGTTTGTCAAAATCAGTTGGCCATAAGCCTAAGGATTTATTTCTGGTTCATTGCCTCCCCTCATGCCAGTACAACCCTGTCTTGATTACTGTGATTTTGTAACAAGTTTTAAAATCAAACARCACAAATCCTCCAACTTTGTTCTTTTTTCAAAATTGTTGTGGCTATTCTAGGTTCTTTGTGTCTCCATACAAATTTTAGTATCTACTTGATGATTTCTGCTAAAAAAAAAAAAAAATTATGGAGGATTGGGGTTGTAGCTTAGTGGCAGAGCAATTGCCTAGCGTGTGAGGCACGGAGTTCGATTCTAAGCACCGCATATAAATAAATAAAATAAAGGTCCATTGACAACTAAAAAATATATTTAAAAAAATGCTTATGGGGATTTGGATTGGGATTGCATTGGGTCAGAAAGTCAGCTGGGGAGACTTGACCTCTTAATAATGAGTCTTTGATCCTTAAATGTGGAATATCTGTTCATGTAATATCTCAGAGATGTTTCATAGTTTTCAGTGTCCAAATGTTGGACTTTTGTTAAATGGCTATTGTGAACAGATTGGTTTTCTCAGTTTCATTTTAAGGTTGTTTATTGCTAGAAATAGATTAATTTGCATGAGTGTTTGTGGTCTCTATTTATTTATTTGGTGCTGGGGATTGAATCCAGGGCCTTGCACATGTTAAAGCACATGCTGTTCCACTGAGCTACACCCCAGCTCTGAATTCTGCATATTGATGTACCCTGTGACCTTGCTAAATTTATTAGTTCTAACATTTGTTTTATGGATGCCTTGGGATTTTCTACATATAAGATAAGGCAGCCAGGTGAGGTGGTGAATGCCTGTAATCCCAGCAGCTCTGGAGGCTGAGGCAGGAGGATCCTGAGTTCAAAGCCAGCCTCAGGAATTTAGCGAGGTGCTCAGCAATGCAGTGAGATGCCGTCTGTAAATAAAATACAAAAATGTGTGGGGATATGGTGGAGTGGTCAAAGGGCCCTGGTTTCAATCCTGGTAGCAAAAAAAACCCCCAAAAAACAAAAAAAAATAAGGCCACTGTGAATAAAGGCAGTTTTATTTCTTCCTTTCTCATCCGGAAGCCTTTAATTTCTTTCCTTGCCTCATTGCTGCTGGTTTGAACTACTAGTACAGTGTTTGTGAGAAATGACAAAAACATACATCTCTACCTTATCCAGAAGGGTAATACAGTCAGTCTTTGACTGTTAAGTATGTTAGCTGTCAGATTGTGTAAGTACCTTTTATCAGCTTTTGTAAATTCTTATTTTTCATAGTTTGTTGAAAAACGTTAGCATGAATTTGCATGGGATTTTGTTAACATGCTTTTTGCTGTATCTATTGAGACAACATGTGTTTTTATTTTTATTTTATTTATTTATTTATTTATTTTTTGGTACTGGGGATTGAATCCAGGGGCACTCAACCACTGAGCCATATCCCCAGCCCTTTTTATATTTTATTTGGAGACAGGGTCTCACTGAGTTGCTTAGAGCCTTGCTAAGTTGCTGAGGCTGGCTTTGAACTCATGATCCTCCTGCTTGGCCTCCCAAGCCACTGGAATTACTATGAGACTGGGCCCAGCTAACCATGTGTTATTTTACTAATATAGTGTTACATGAGTTGATTTTCCGATGTAGGACCAATCTTGTATCCTGGAATAAATCATGGTAGATAATCCTTTTTATATATTGCTGGTTTGGGTTGCTGTTTATTGAGGATTTTTGCATAGGTATTCATGAAGGATATTGACCTGTTTTGTTTTGGATCACAGTAATTCTAGCCTTATAGAATGAGTTGGGAAGTGTTACTTCGTCCTCTGTTTTCTTTGTAAGAGGATAATTTTGTTGTTGTGTATTTTTGTCTCTTGAGATGGGGTCTCACTTGTTGCCCAGGCTGGTCTTGAATTCCTGAGCTCAAGTGAACTGCCTTCTTGAGCCTTCCTAGTGCTGGGACTCATGCTACTGTGTCTGATTTAAAGGGATAATTTGTGGCCTTTTAGCGGGTGACTGAAGGCAGTCATCGTTTTCAAGGGTAACTTTTTGCAGAGATCCTTAGGATGTGGCAGCTTGCAGCATTATTGACTGTGTTCCCGGCTCCATTTGCTGGCGGGTCTGGCTGAAGATGGGGCAGATGCCCAGGGTCTCTGAGACAACTTGTCTGATCACATCTGGCAAGCAAATGCAAGCAGCCCTCTGAGCTTCCCCGCAGGAATTGAGGTTTGGTCTGCTCACCTGGCAGTGGGGTGCTTGGCTGAGGGCACATCTCTCCCTTCTCTCTCTGAACAGAGTAGCCACGAACCAGAAGGTGCGAGAGCAGGTACGCCTGGAGCTGAGCTTCGTCAACTCGGACCTGCAGATGCTCAAGGAGGAGCTGGAGGGGCTCAACATCTCCGTGGGAGTGTATCAGAGCACAGAGTGAGTGGGGCAGCGCGTCATCCAGATGCCTGAGTGTACCTGTGTCTAGGGTGGGACGCAGAGAGGTGGTGGGTAGGGGGTTGTGCACCAAGGGCAGGGCAGCCCCTGTTTTGGGAAGTGAGATGATTGGGTTTGGTGTTGAACCAGGTACAAGGGTTAAAGCAATGACCCTGTGGAGTTTGTTGGGAAATATCCGCAGTGTTGGACAGATGGGCRTTTGACCTGGGATCCCTTGGAACACAGAGAACAACATGACTGGGTCCCAGCAGGGAGATGGCATCTTTCACATGGGCTGGGGTGGTGGCTGTGATGTAAAGATGCCCTGCAGGTGCTTCTGTGGGTGGCCATAGCTGATGTGCCAGGTGAGGACAAGGTTACCTTGCCATTTGCCCTCCCGGACTCTCGTCAAGTACAAGGCCTGGCCCTGGGTCTTTCTGTTGATAGAATGCAAAAAAGTAGAAACTGCTTTGAGGGGGATCTTTTTTTATATATATTTATTTTTTTAGTTGACACAATGCTTTAACTTTATTTATTTTAATAAATTATTTTTAATAAATTATTTATTTTTAATAAATGAGGATGGGACCCAAGGCCTCGTACATGCTAGGCGAGCACTTTACCGCTGAGCCACACCCCAGCCCAAGGGGAATATTTTATGTCAAAGTTAGGGGGCCCGAGTTCCCCTAGAAGATGGTACAGTGGCGACACTTAAGAAATGTATGACAATAAGTATTGGAGTTTCTTCAGGGAATGTTTATGGGAGGTGGATTATTGAAGTGTGCCTTCAGAAAGTTCTCTGCCCTGAGTGAGCTATTTTTTGGGGAAAAAGAAGTGTTCATCTTCAATTAAGAAATAGCTGAGCCCTCCAAAGAAGGGCTTACTTGCCATGTGGGGATGTGAGGCTTCTTAGATGGGTGAGCTCCAGGGGAAACTCAGACATAAAATAGTTCCCTGGATTAACAGAAGGAAGACATTTGGGAATTTTGAGCCACCTTGGAGTGTGCATTTCCTGACCCTAATCCTCCCCGTGGCACCTGGGTTGTTTATCTGAAGCTCAGAGCCAAGAGCAGGTGTCTGGAGTCCTGCTGCTCTTCCCTCAGTGACAGTCCTGTGTGCAGCTGGTTTACCTGTGGGCTCCCAGTGCAGTTTCAAAAACTCAGTCAGGGCAGCAATGAATGGAAGGTTCTCCTAGCCTCTCCTCTGGTGTTAAATTCCAGTGTTTCCCCCCAAAATTTCAAGGTTAGGGTTTTTTTTTTTKTTGTTTTCTTTTAGTACTAGGGATTAAACCTGGGGAGTGCTCTACTATTGAACTACACCCCAGCCCTTTTTATTTTTTATTTTGAGACAGGAGTTTTGCTAAGTTGCCCAGGCTGGCTTTGAACTTTGATCCTCCTGTCTTAGCCTCCTAAATTGCTGGGATTACAGGCATGTGCCACTAGACCTCACCAAAAAGGTCCAAATTCCTCCAGGACTCAGACTTTAGTAATAAATGGAGAGTGGCCATTTTTTGTTTTGCTTAAAAAAAAAAAAAAAAAAGCAGGGTTTTCTTACAAAGATGCATCTAAGACCCCTGCATAGTCATAGTCCACAATGGCCTCTCTTGATTCCCCTGTGTTATTGGGGAGAGGGGAGAGATGGGCAGATACTAAATGACAATTTGTATTTGCACCCTTCATTGTAGCTATTTTCAAAGTAGGTCGCTGCTTTCTGAGTGCTGTAGATTGTGAAGCTTTTCTGTGAGGTAGGCAGGGAAGAAATGATCTCACTGTACAGATGAGAAAATTCAGAGAGGCCCAGGTCACAAAGAAAGTCATGTTAGCGCCACACTAGGGATGATGGAGTCCTCAGGATACCTGTCACTCTTCTGGAGAGTCTTGGGAAGAGCCGACCTTGCCGCCAGCCCTGGAGGAGCAAGAAGGCTTGGCGTGCCTTAATCTCCTTCTATTCAGGTCCAGCCTTCCTGGCAGGCTTTGGGGAAGCCAGGTACTAAGGTTTGGTCTCACCTGCTTTTAGCACAGCAGTGCCACAGTGGCAGTTTCAGTTTACAGCTGCATTGTCCACTCACCCTGCCCAGCATTCCTGACCTTCTCTCTGGGCTGGGCTAAGCAGCCTGTGGCGGTCTCCTGTTACAGGTCAGGGAGCTAAATCCCTATTTGCTAAACACAGCCTGCTTCCTGTTCACTTCCTTCTGGCCCTGCCCCTAGGAATGTAGGCTCAGGGAGCACTCCTGAGTGCAGGTTGACTGAGGGGTCAGTGGGGGCAGAAGAGGAGGTGGAGGTGAAGTGGAGACTGCAGGCTGACCCTGGACTGGGAGCCAAGTGTGCCTAGATGTCAAATGGGGCCCCAGGCTGCAAAGTCTTTTCTATGCAGGTAATGGGATACCTGTTGTAATACCCCCAAATGTGGAGCCCAGGGTTGAGTGTGTAGGGTGTTGGAGGGCAGTTAGAGAGGTGGGACCCACTGTGGTGAGGAGAGGGAGAGGAGGGAGGGTTGGAGATTAGGAGGAGGCCCAGAGTAGCGGCTGGTGTACCCAGGCTGGGAAGCAGTGAGTGCATGTGGCAGGTCGCTGAAAAGTTGAGACCGGAGGGATAAACCAGGGTCAAGTTGGTGGGGTGGGGGTGGGTCTAGTGTGTTAGGCTGCAGCATCCAGCTGTCACAGGGAGCTGGAAACCATTTTAAGAACTGAAGGAAGGGGATGACCCAAGTTGTCCTGAGGGAACGGGAACCTGTCAGCTAGCTGTGTGGTGGACTGGTGTGAGGACAGAGTGGGGATCTGAGCTGGGCTGCTGGGGTGAGGCTGCGGAGGGCCAAGTGGCCTGGTTGGGGTGTTCACATGCCTTGTTGTACTCTTTGTAGGGAGGCGTTTATGATCCCTCTGATTCCTCTTGGCCTGAAGGAAACCAAAGACGTTGACTTTTCCGTCGTCCTCAAGGTAAAGCAGTTGGCCTCAGTGTTTAAAATGGGAAAAAAGAAATTATTGTGTCTTCCTCGAAGTGGTCTGAGGCCCACTGGGCCAGGCGCCAGTGATATCTGTCTGCAGGTGACCGTCCGTCATTCCTCTTAACTTGCTCTCTTCTTTGCTGACTTCTGAAGCTCCTCCTGAGAAACTGGAAAAGGTGGGCTGGGATCCCAGATGGACCTCCACGAGAGGCCAAGTGGAAGAGGGTCTGTGGTGGGCGTCCTTTAGAATTTTAAAAATTATACCCTGTTTCACCTTTCTCCTTAAATTGTGTAACCAATTAAGGCCATGTTTTTGGAAGAACAGCTAAAGTCTCCCGCCCCCAACATAGTATCATGGAAAACTTCCAAACTTATAGAAAAACTGAAAGAATCCTACAGTCATCCTGAAAGAATCCTACCAGTAACATTTTTGCTTTATTGTCCACCTGTCCATTTATGCCTCCCTGTGTCTGCCCACCAGTCCATTTTATTTTAAGATGCATTTCAAAATAAATCAAAGATATCAATTCACTACCCTTAAATACTTGAGTAGCTCAAGTTTGGGGTTCGGTTTTTTTCTCTATCTAATTCTTGAGTTTCTGAGCTCCTTTCTCATTCAGTAAGTACTTGCAGATCTGCAGCAATCACTGTATTGCCACCTGGAGATGCCACAAACCTTACCTTGGGGGCCTGTGAGTCCTGTGGGGGGGTCAGTCAGGTAGGACACTGGAGGTCTTTGTTAGAGTCATACAAGAGAGGTGGAGCTTCCACACTGGGGCCAGGAGACCATCCACACCTAGAATATTTAATTATTCTTCCTTTCCCCAGCTCCATCAGTTTGAGGTTTGGTGTCACCAGCTGGCTGGGCTGGCAACTGAAAAACCACACAAACACAGAAATACCTTTTTTGTGGATCAAAGACATCTCTGAGACCTCAGTTGTCAGCTTCCACGCTGGAAGGCAAGGGGAGCAAGGGAGGCAAGAGGCAAGAGAGAGAGCCCACCTGAAATTCCCCTGTTTATTGGGGAAAAGCCATTCATAGAATATTCCACCCAAGTAAGGCAAGGGATTGGGTTTCAAAAGATGGAGTCTTGCTTGGTGATGTCTTGTGGTCAGCAGGTTGATTGACATCTTGGAAAGCCACACCCATCTCAGGTACTGTGTAGGATCACAGGCAGAGCGAGAGAAAAATGGGTCACACAGCCCAAAAACCCGTGTAACGCCAGACCAGTCCCAAATGTGCATAGCTCACACACCCAGCCCATGGATAGCTGGAGACAGTTTGGTGGTTTTTTGGTACTGGGAACTAAACCCAGGACTTGCACAGACTAAGCAGCTATACTACTACTGAGCCATATCCCCAACTCCATGTTCAGTTTGAGATTTAATGACTCACCTCCAACTGCTGTTTAGGAGATGAGGTAGAAGGAAGTATCTATCTCTGAGCTTTCCAGTACAGGTTCGAAGGATAGGAATTAAACCCAGCATTGTAAAAAAAAATGCTTCAAAGAATGATGTTTCTTTCCTTACTAATCCTGTTCATTGATTCATTTTGTACTATTATTAGTTAAGAAAAAAAATTATCATGGCATTTTGGCCACTATAGAATTAATTTTTACCCCAGTACTGGAGATTGAACCAGGGGTGCTTTACCACTAGCTACATCCCTAGCCCTTTTTGTTTTATTTTGAGACAGAGGCTCAATAAGTTGCTAAGGCTGGCCTCAAACTTGTGATCCTCCTGCCACAGCCTCTGCAGGAGTAACTGAGATTACAGTGCACCACCATGTCCAGCCAGAATTTGTCTTTTAAAAGCAGCCGATTAATACTTTGAAAGCAACTGCACTTGACCTCTTCTTAAACAGAGGCTGTGAGTCACATGACATAAACGTCCCTTTACTCAGGGTCTTTTTGTTATTGTTGTTGTTACAGGGGATTGAACTCAGGGGCACTTGACCACGGAGCTACATCCCCAGCCCTCCTCAGTCTCCTGAGCCGCTGGGATTACAGGCGTGTGCCACCGTGCTGGCTACCCAGGGTCTTTTGACTGCTGCCTTTGTTTAAATTTAGGGTCAGGTCCCTGTGAGTTTGGAGTTTTTATTCGAGTTGGAGAAAGGCAATTAATTGGTGGTGTTTCAGGGCTCAGATTGACCAAAAAGTTGATTTTTCTGGGTAGAAACTGTTTAGGATCAGCCTCTTTATGCCAGCTTTTCACAGCCTGTCTGAACTTTTGAGATGTGATTTGTCACTGCTCTATGGAACTCAAGATAATCCCTGTATTTGTAGAAAAGTTGCATTTCTACAATTGTTCTTTTTTTTTTTTTCTCTTGAGATTTAATTTGTCTGTTGCCCGGTGCCAGAGTTAAAAAGAATGTGGACATTTTAAAGGAGACTCTCTTGGAGAAACTTAGGAATGTTTGGGGCATCTGCAAGGATCCAAATAGGTCATGTTGCTGAATTCCACATTAAAGCAAGTGGAAAAAAAAAAAAATCACATGCTGTGGGCATAGCCAATTACCATTCAGTGAGGCTTCCAACCATGTCATTTTATCTGAAAAGGGACGCTGCAAATGTCAGTCATCCAAAAATGAGAACGTTTGGGGACTTTCTATTTTCTCCCTTCCACATTTGTATTTGAGAGAAACAAGCAACACAGAAGTTGTTCAGTGGACTTTGTCAGGGCCATTCAGTTTCAAATGTGTCCATGGGAGGTTTAAGGCCAGGAAAGCTTCATGATGTGAATTTTTTTTTTAAAGGAATTTAACCTTTTATTTATTTGTTTTGTTTGTTTTAATGTGGTGCTGAGGATCGAACCCAGGGCCTCACTCGTGCTAGGCAAGTGCTTTCCCACTGAGCCATAAACCCAGTCCTCATGATGTAATTTTATTCTGTTTTAAAAGACATGGGCTTTAAAATGGCTGCTTTAGAAAGCATCATCAGGCCTGCTGGTGTAGTTCAGAGGCAGAGTGCTTGCCTAGATTACACAGGGCCCTGGATTCAATCCCTGAACCACAAAAAACAAAAGCAGCAACAACTAAAATTATCAAAATGCATGCCTTTTCCAGAGAATTTGAGGTTTTATTTGTCTGTTTGCTTTTCTTCTTGTTTTATTTTTACTGGAGATTAAACCCAGGGTCTCACACTAGGTAAGTTCTCTGCCTCTGAGCTACACCCCCAGCCCTGTTTATTTTTACTGAAAACAGGTTATCACTAAGTCGCCCAAGGCGCTCAAATCTGTGATCTGCCTCAGCCTCAGCCTCCTGAGTAGCTAGGATTCCAGGTGTGCACCACCATGCCTGGCTTGTCTTTGCTTTAAAGGGAGCTGCTACTACTGCTGCTTCTCTTCTTCCTCCTCTTCCTCCTCTTCCTCCTCCTCCTCTTCTTCACTCTAATTAAGACCATTATTGCAGAACATTCAGAAAATACCAAGACACGTAAAGCTCCCTCCCTACTTAGCTATGTGACTTGCTTAGTACTTACTTATCCTTTGGACACTCTGGTTTCTTCCTCTAACAGTGTCCTGCTTTGTGAAGGTTGGAAGAGACGTGTCTATTAAGGACAGAGTTTCTGCAGTGCTATGGTGTCTCTTCCCTACCCCCACCTCTTGCTCCCCTCCCACTCCATACCAGCCTCTTGCTGTAGCTTTCTTTTCTCTATGGTCAAGGGGGAGGAGCACCAGAAGGAGATCCCAAGGTGGAAGCAGAGGGAAGTCACATTTTCCCTGTCTCCTTCAGCTGCCTTTTGCATTCTCTATGCAAAAGACACCCTACCCCAAGGTGATTTGGTGCCCACCTAGGTTGCCAGTGTAGCTGCTTCTAAATCTGGGCTCTCCAGTTTATGGGGCTTAATCCACTCCTACCCCTGCCCTTTTCTATGCTAGGCATRGCATTCAGGGGCAAGAGCATGCTAAGCAAGCCCTTTCCCACTGAGCTATGTTCCCAGTCCTGGGGTTCTATTCGAATGACTTCAGGAGTTTGGCACCATTCTTTAACTCTGCCTACACCACTATTATAATAATAATCCCTGCATTATATTCTCATCACCAGTCCTGCTGATACGTGCCACCCTGCCTCGACCTGATGTGGATATGCATCCTTTCTCCGTTTTTATGRGGAAACTACTAAGCCTAGTCCACTGCAGCCTGAGTGCTAGACATTATCCTGTTTCATATCTGAGGAAACTGAAGCTCATCCAGGTTAACCCTCCGGGGTTAGAGAGCCAGCCTGGCTCTGTAGAGTGAGTCTATCCCAGAACTGTGTATGACAATTGCCTTTTCTGTTCCTTTGGGGAAGTTGCAGGCTTTTGTTAATTACCTGATTCTCAAATATACTCAGGTCTGCCTATGGCTCACTGTTTAACCCCTGAGCACACTTGAGCATCATGTAGAACAAGGCTCCTTTATGACTTTACTTTTCCAAATTTTCTTAGCTTTTACTCCCACATTTTTGCTTTGATATTTCATCAAGTTCCCCCAAAAGCAGCACTTTTGAGTTTTGATTGAAATTTAATTAACTCATACATTAATTTGGACAAAAGTCCATCTTCACAGTATTGCACATTTTTCTTTGTGAACAAAACATATCCAATTAACCAACAGCAAATGTTATGAGGGAAAGGCTGGGCATGGTGGCAAACACCTATAATCCTGGCTATTTGGGAAGCTGAGGCAGGAGGATCATAAGTTTAATACTAGCCTGGGCAACTTAGTGAGACCAGTCTCAAAATAAAATAAAGAAGACTGAGAATGTAGCTCAGTGGTAGAGTGCTTGCTTAGCATGGTCAAGTACTTGGGTTCGATCCCCAGTAATGCCAAAAAAAAAAACCAAAAACAACAACAACAAAACTTATATGGTTAGGGACCATGTCTATCTTTTTCAGAAATGATTTAATGAATAAATAAAAGAAATAATGAAATAGCTCATGTCCTTCAGTAAAGTCTAATAGTTGTCAGCTTAATTAAATTACTTTTATCCCTAGAAATACTGTACTTTTATAAAAGATATTCCTATATAATATTGCTATTATATTTATCTAACTAGTTATTGATTGTAAAAGAAAAGAAGAATATTAGGTTTTTCATTATTGACTTAGTAAAGGAAATGGTCCTTGTGCCTGTGCGTCTCCTTGAAAAGTGCTGGTCTTGCTTTCAGGACTGTCTGTGTGGAGCTCCAGATCACCTTTGTCCTGCAGATCATGCTCACCTTAATTAATGTTACCGACAATGCAGTATTTAAAAACTATTTCAAATTTTACAAATAGTCATTACATTAGTGTATCATTACATTGATTCTAAACATCACCACTTTGTCATGAAGAAAATCCGTGACAGCATCATAAGACAATAGGACAAGTTTTGAGCCTGCTGTGGTCGTGCATGCAAAGATCCTCCTGCTCAGGAGGCTGAGGTTGGAGGATCCCTGGAGTCCAGGAGTTTGAGTCTATTGGGCAACAGTATCTCACCAGGACAAAAAAAGAAAAAAAAAAAAAAAGAGGAAAGAAGAAGTTGTATAAAAATAACTAAATTACAAAAATTTTCTTTTTTTTTTCTTTTGGTATTGGGGGTGAGAGGGTTTAACCCAGGGGCACTTAACCACTGAGCCACCTCCCCCATTCTTTTTACTTACTTTTAAAATTTTTGTTTAGCTGTTAAAATTTTGAAACAGGGCCTCACTATGTTGCTGAGGTTGGCTTTGACCTTGTGATCCTCCTGCCTCAGCCTTTGAGCTGCAAAAATTTAATTTTTTAATTCAAAATTAAAGAAACGTCATTTCTTTGGACACTGTAATACATCTTTGGGGATTTGTTTTGAGAAACTAGTCAGAGATGTGCACACTGATGATCATCACAGTGTTATCTTTAATTGTAAAAATTTGGAAACAACTTTGGTATCTTTTTCTTAAAAAAATTATTTTTAAGTTGTAATTGGACACGATACCTTTATTTAATGTATTCATTTTTATGTGGTGTTGAGGATCCCACTCAGGACCCTGATATTGTAGGCAAGTGCTCTACCACTAAGCTACAACCCTAGTCCCAACTTTGGTATTTTAACAAGTGAAAGTAAAGTAAAATCTTAGTACATTTGGCTAGCACATAGCTAGTGCTCAGTTTACTTGTTGAATACTTGAATTGTATGCTTACTTCATTGGGGTAATACAGAACCATTAAAAGTCATGTTATATTTTATGGCCTGTGAAAATGTTTGCTATATAGCTAAGTTGTATTCAGTACAAATCCATTAGCATGTGTGTGTCTCTCTGCATTGCACATGCCAAAACGGGAGGAGTTTGAAGTATGTACTACAGAGAATATCACAGTCACTAGGGGAAAGAAGTGAACAGTTAGTTATCTTACCAGCTTCTCTTATAGCCGGCGAGAGCCAGCGCTTAGGGAGGATGCTGGGCAGGATCATACTCCCTCCCCTCACATTATTCTTACTTTTGTTCCTATAATATTTGCTTTCTTCTGATACAGGTCGACCATCCCTACAGTGCTTCAAATTCTGTACCTTCATGATGTCACAACTTCTACACCATGAAATTTACATGGTTTCATATACAAAATTAATTATTTTAAAATGTTGTATAAAATTACCTTTAGGCTGTGTGTAAAAAGTGTATATTTAGACTTGGATCCCATCCTCAAGATATCTCATTATGTCATCACAAATATTCCAAAATCTGGGCTGGGGGTGGAGGAAGTAAAGCCAGAGACACTAATGGTCCCAAGCGGTTCAGTAAGGAATAGTCGACTGTGTACCATATAGTTTGTTTGTTTGTTTGTTTTTAAAAGAAATTTGCTTTATTATAATTTAAAAAAATTTTTTTTTAGTTGTAGATGGACACTACCTGAGTTTTTATTTTTATGCTGTGCTAAGGATCAAATCCAGGGCTTCACACATGTTAGGCAAGCCCTGTACCACTGAGCTGCAACCCCAGCCCCTAGTTTATTTATTTTCATGCCTATTACTATTGTCTGTGTTAGGAGAATCTGAGCTCCATGGGAGGACAGATCTTTTTACACTGCCAGGTACATAGAAAGTGCCCATCAATGTTTGTTAAATAACTGAATGAACTTTGAGCAGTTGTCAAACACTGGGATGTTCTGGGTCCATTTAGGGGTTTAGAGGTCTCACTGGGTTGTTTTTGTTCATGGAAGTACCAGAGCTCTCAAAGGTTCCCTGCAGAATCTTACATTTTTTTTTTTTTTTTTTTTTTTTTAGGTTCTGGGATTGAATCTAGGGCACTTTACCACTGAGCTACACCCCAGTCTTTTTTATTTCTTTAGTTTGAGACAGGGTCTCACTAAGTTGCTGAGGCTGGCCTCAAACTCACGATTCCTCTGCCTTAGCCTCCTAAATCACTGAGATTACAGACATAATCCAGTTTATCAATATCCTATGACACATTTTTTTTTTCTTTTGTGCTCTGCCTGGACGCTGAGATCTTCTCAGAGGTTGAAAGTCTGAGTCCTTGAGTATTTGTGTTGTCTGTCAGAAGTGTTTAATGTGTAGGTCTTTTAACTGTGTTATTAGACTTTTTTCCCCCTTTTGCTGGTGCTGGGGATTGAACCCAGAGCTTCCCATATGCTAAGCAAGTGCACTACCACTGAGGTACACCTCTAACCCACAAGGACATTTTTAAATTAAAAAAAAAAAAAACTTAAATTTTTACTAAAGCAACAAATGAAACATCTAAAAAATCTGTAATAAACAAAATTAAGAAAATAAATTCACCTACTCTGAAAATCACAAATAAATTTTTTTGTATTGTATATGATTTTTTTTAAGGGTGAGCATATTTGACATATAACTGTTTTACAGATTTATGGTTCCATAGCACATCTTTTTTCTTTTAAGCTCTAGGTTTCAAACCCAGGTCTCAAGCATGCTAGGCAATTGCTGTAACACTGAGCTACCCTCTGACCTCTTGAATTATATCTTATCTCATTTTTCTTAAAGGATTTTATCCTGGAACATTACAGTGAAGATGGCTATTTATATGAAGATGAAATTGCAGATCTTATGGATCTGAGACAGGTAAATTTTCTGTGCAGCAGATCTGGAGGACAGCTGCTTGAGCTTGCTGAATCTTGTGCCCATCCTGTGACCGCACGGGTGTAGTCTTAGGAAAATCAAGGATGGTTGGGGATGATGGGGAGGGGCTGTTGGAATTCCACCTGCAGTACCCTAGGACTGGAGAGACCTGCCCATTGTCCTGCCTGGGCCTGGATCCCAGGGTTCCTGACCTCCTAGAGTTCATGGTACCAGCAGTGGGGCCCACACATCACAGAAATAGGTGGAGGCACCTGTTTCTACAGGTGGTACTCTCCTGCTCACCTCTCTGCTGTCTTCCTTGTAGGCTTGCAGGACACCCAGCCGGGATGCAGCAGGTGTTGAACTGCTGATGTCATACTTCATCCAGCTGGGATTTGTGGAGAGTAGATTCTTCCCGCATACTCGCCAGATGGGGCTCTTGTTTACCTGGTAGGTGCCTGTGGTCTGCATGTCCTATCATAGATGACATTGAGACAGCAGACTCTGTGGTGGAAGGTAAATAAATTGGTATTTATTTATTTATTTATTATTCTTATTTTTTTGGTATTGGGGATTGAACCCAGGAGCGTTTTTGTCACTGAGGTACATCCCCATCCCTTTCCTTTTATTTTTTATTTTGAGACAGGCCTCTCTAAGTTGCTTAGGGTCTCACTAAATTGCTGAAGCTGGCCTCAAACTTGAATTCCTCCTGCCTCACTCAGTTTCCCAAGTTGTTGGGATTACAGGCGTGTGCCTAGCTATTATTTAGTTCTGATGGGGACCCAAGGGAGGAAGGCCTTGAATGTTTCAAAATAAGTGAGCCAAGAAGAAGCTTTTTTTTTCTTTCTTTCTTTTCTTTTTTTTTTGTACCAAGGATTGAAGCCGAGGCACTTAACCACTGAGGCACATCACCAGCCCTTTTTTAATTTTTTATTTTGAGACAGGGTCTTGGTAAGTTGCTGAGGCTGACTTTGAACTTGTGATCAGAGAAGTGTTTTTTTTTTTTTTAATGCTCATTGTGTCATTGGGGAAACAGCAGGGCTCTGAAGGGGAACTAACAAGAAGCAGTTTCTGTCTTAGATGGGAGGGAACTGGGTTTTGTCCCAGTGGCAATCAGAAATAGATTTTAAAAAAACTGAAATAAAATATCTGATTCTTTTCCAGAATGACATTTTCAAAGATCAATATGGTTTCTCTACTTTGGAAAAACTGGGTCTCTTCTCTTAAGTATACTTGCAGTGTGGGCTAAAGGGCGTGGTCAGCATAAAATTTTACCATAATGGATAGAATACTGCCAATGCCTTCCCTTTGGGAAGGACATGCAGATGACTTTGAAAAAAAGTGTGGTTGCTTGCCCATTTGAGTGAGAAGGCAATGGTGGCTTCTCCCTCGTCTTGAATTAAGAACAAGCTTCCTGCCTACCTCTTGATTTGAATCATGAGTTTTAAAAAATCCTGAGCGTCACTCCAGTTAGAATGGCAGCCATCAGGAATGCAAACAATAATAAATGCTGGAGAGGATGTGGAGATAAAGGAACATAGTTACACTGTTGGTGGGATTGTGAATTAGTACAACCACTGTGGACATCAGTAGAGAGGTTCCTCAGAAGATTAGGAATAGGAGGCTGAAGCAGGAGGATCTTGAGTTCATAGCCAGCCTCAGCGATTTACCGAGGCCGCAAGCAAGTCAGCAAGACCCTGTTTCTAAATAAAATATAAAAATGGGGCTGGGGATGTGGCTAAACGCCTCTGGGTTCTTTCCCTGGTACAAAAAAAAGAAAAAGAAAAAGACAAGGAATGGAACCAGCACATGACCCAGCTGTACCACTCCTGGTATTTAAAGGCATCTTACTACAGGGATACATGCACACCCATGTTTATAGCAGCACAATTCACAATAGCCAAACTATGGAACCAGCCTAGGTGTCCATCAGTGGATGAATGGATAAAGAAAATGTAGTATACATACACAAAGGGAGTTGATTCAGCCATAAGGAAAAAATGAAATGATTTCATTTGCAGGAAAAATGGATGAACTTAAGAATATCATTCTCAGCAAAATAAGACTCAGAAGGCCAAGAGTCATACATTTTCTCTATGTGGAAGCTAGAGGGGATGAAATAAAAGAAAGGTGGAGGCTCTCGTGAGGAATGAAGGGTGATCAGTGGAGCAGAAGAGAGGGATCAGAGGGAGGGAGGGAGGAAAGGGGGGAATACTGGGGAATGATATTGGTATTATTGTATTGTGTGCAGGTGTGAATGTGTGACAACGAACCCCACCAACAAGTACAATTACAATACACCAATAAAAACATGTGGGGGAAAAAAATCCTGAGTCTTTTAAACTTCAGGAAGAATTATGAGGGGTTAGTAATTGCTATCTATATTTCACTTAGGAAAAGCCACATTTCTTTTTCTTTTTTTTTTTTTTTGAGACATGGTCTCACTAGGTTATACAAGCTGGCCTCAAACTTGATGCCCTTGTCTCAGCCTTCTGAGTAGCTTGATTATAGGCATGGGCATCCAATCGCTTATATGTACATTTAAAAAATATATATTATTATTATTTTAGAGTACTTTTATGCTCACAACCATATTGAGCAAAATGTTCAGTGTTTCTCTGGATCCCTGGTTCTGATATGGGAACAGTGTCCCCACGACAGTGGTAGGTTTCTTATGCTAGATGATCATACCTTGACAACATATCATTATCACCCAGAGTTTACTTAGGGTTCATTCTGGGTGTTGTAGAGTCTCTGGGTTTCGACAAATGCATGATGACATGCATTCACCATTGTGGTATCCCGCAGAATCGTTCACTGTCCTGAAAGTTCTCTGTGCTATGCATATTTATTCTTCCCTCCTTCCTGACTCCTGTTAGCCACTGATCTTTTAAAATCTCCACAGTTTTGTCTTTCCTAGAATATCCAGATAGACTTTTTTCACTCAGTGATAAGTGCTTAAATTTACCCCATGTCTCTTCATGGCTTGCTAGCTCATTTCCTTTTAGTGGTGAGTTATGTTCCACTGTCTGGATGTACCACAGTGYATTTATCCATTCACCTACTTGAAGGACATCTCAATTGAAAAGCCTTATTTTTTTGTGTGTGGCTGTGTAGTTCTGTGGCTCTGTGATCAGCATGATCAAATCTGTCATCTTGCTTGGGAACAAAAGCCCCATTGCATGTGCATTTTAAAATTTTATTCAATAAATGAATTTTGCCCATATTCACCCCAAAGTGGCATCAACTAGCCAAGTAATGTGTATTCCTAGAATGTGTTTTCTTTTAAATAGGTATGACTCCCTCACCGGCGTCCCGGTCAGCCAGCAGAACTTGCTGCTGGAGAAGGCCAGCATTCTGTTTAACATCGGAGCCCTCTACACCCAGATTGGGACCCGGAGCAATCGGCAGACCCAAGCTGGACTGGAGAACGCCGTGGACGCCTTCCAGAGAGCTGCAGGTGTGTCTCTGCCAGGCACAGCCCTGACCCCACCAGGCTGGCACGAGGGTGCCTAGCTGAAGAGTCTGGGGTTCTCCCCAGAGCTAGGCATGGTCTCAGAAGCCTGAAAGGGGACCCGGCCGTGTTTAATACTGGTGTAACGTCCCATCAAGAGACCATTAGGTTCAGGCCATCATCTTAGTTTGGGATGTACATAGTGAGGACTTTGGTTAAGGATTTGTCTTTTCCAAATGAATGGCCCCAGTGATGACACTGAGTAGCTCTTTCTTCCAACACTAACTATGTGGAAGAACAGAATCACTTTTCCCAATGAGTGAAAATGTGGGCTTTTTATTTTTTTCTCTTATTAGGTGTACCTGATGCCTACAAAGTCCCTCCTTGTCTGTTCAGGATATGTTCCAAGACTGGCAGGAGGTGCCAGAAGGTTCCGGTGGTTCAGATAGTACGGAACCCTATGTAACTCTGGTTTTCCTATATGTAAAGATATAAGATAATATCATAATGAAGTTTAATTTATAGATTAGACATAGTAAGAGGTTAGCATTAATAATTAATAAATAGAWCGATTATAAAATATTGTCATAAAAGTTATTTGAACCTTACGAATTCTTCATTTCTGGAATTTCCCACTTAATATTTTTATACCACAATTAACTGAGTGTAACGGAAACCAAGGAAAGCAAAGCCTTGGATAAAGGAGGACTGTTACGTTACCCTCTGTGCTTGGTATCATTCTTATTCTGTCAAGTTCACCAGCCTGAAGTTGGTGCTCTCAGCCCTCTGCCAAGTGCTGTGTACTCTGTATCCCTAGTAGATCAAGGACGGGGATGCAGTGGGTGAGCCTGGTGTGGCTTCTGTGCCTTCCTGGGGTCTGTATGCTCCCCTCCAGCAGGGACTCTGTCTGGGGCAGACTCAACAGGGGATGGTGGGCAAAAATAGCAGCACGGTGCAGACCGCAGCATGACCCCCTGAGTCTGCCCAACAGGTTTTTGCTGTCTGTGCTGATCCCCTGCTCTGCTTTGGGGTATAATCACCCCTACTCCATCCCCTCCCCCAACATAGAACCTTTCCGGATACTCACTCAGGAAGCCCTGTAACCCTGTGTAGGACCACAGCTTTGTCACTTAGACTTATGGAATTTCTTGCATTAAAATTATTGGTGTTTGGGGATGAGACGTGGGCTTGGAATTGTTTTAGTGTATGTCCTTTTCTGGACTCTTCTTTCTCCCTGAGGTATCCCAAGCAGGCATATGTTGTGACCTGTCTCGAAGATTCTAGAGATAAAAAGACAAGAGTGAAGCTTAAACAGTGGTGACCACGAGGGCAGCCCCAAGGGGGGCAAACAGGCTGCAGCAGGTGCCATCCCTCTGCAGGGCAGTAAAACCAGAGGGACCAGTTGGATGGGATTCATGTGGCAGATTATATTTCAGTTCCAAATTGTTCTCATGACAGTTAATTTCCTAAAGTATGAAGAAGTCAGCTGAAGGCTGCAACATGAACGGTGTGTCCCTGGGAGCCCTTTGGGTTGTTCTTTCCTGAGGTCCTGCAGTAGGGAGGGCTCTGCATTTCTGAATGACTCAGGTGTCGTGGGTGAGCCAGTCCCCTTGGAGCTCCCTCATCATTCCACCTGCTTTCAGCTGTCACCTCCATCACATGTCCAGTCACGGGCAGTTTCTCACAGGTGTCCCCAGTGAGAAGGGGAGGGAGGGAACCAACTGGTTTCCTTACATGTACATGTTTTGGAAGCAAATCCAATTTTTAAAAACTGTGATAAAATATACATATTTACTGTTTTGACCTATTTTTTTTTTTTTAAAATGCTGGGAGTTAATCCAAGGCCTTGTGCATGCACTGTACTACTCAGCTACATCCCCAGCTCGTTTGCTTGCGCATGCTCTCTCTCTCTCTCTCTCTCTCTCTCTCTCTATATATATATATATATATATAGAGAGAGAGAGAGAGAGAGAGAGAGATAGATAGACCTTTGTTTTATTTATTTATATGTGGTGCTGAGAATCAGACCCAGTGCCTCATACATTACCAGGCAAGTGCACTACCACTCAACCACCGCCCCATTGACATCCCCATCTCTTTTTAAATTTTATTTTGAGATAGGGGTTTCACTAAGTTGTCCAGGCTGCTCTCAAAATTGAGATCTTCTGGCCTCAGCCTCCCAAATAGCTGGGATTATTACGCATGAGCCACTATGCCTGGCTATAATTTTTAACCATTTTTCACTGTGGTAAAACATGCATAAGATAAAATTCACATTTTAATCTTTTTCTTTTTGGCACTGGGGATTGAATCCAGAGGTGCTTTACCATTGAGCTATGTCCCCAACCCTTTTTAATTTTTGAGACAAGGTCTCACTAAGTTGCTGAGGCTGACCTCAAACTTGTTGTGATCCTTATGCCTCAGTCTCCCGATGGCTGGATGACAGACATGCCCCACTGTGCCCAGCCATTTTAACCATTTTTAAGTGTACTGTTCAGTGGTGTTAATTACATTCATATTGTTGCACAACTATCACCACCGTCCATCTCCAGGATATTTTCATCATTCAGACTGAAGCTGTGTACCCAATAAATAATAACACTCTCTTCCTTCCCCCAGTTCTTAGTAACTGGTACCCTCATTCTTTTTATCTATACAAATGGGGACTATTCCAGGTACTTCATTAAATGAAATCAGATGATGTTTGACCTTTTATGATTGGTTCATTTCACTTGGCATAGTGTCTTCATTATGTTGTAGCTTGTGCAGAATTTCATTCTTTTGACTTTGGAATGGGTGCTAGGGTCAAATCCAGGGTCTTGTGTATGCTAGGCAAGTGCTGTGCCCCTGAGCCACAGTTACCCCCTTAGCCCTGCATTCCCATTTGGTTTTGCTTTTTTTTGTTTGTTTGTGGTAATGGGTATTGAATCCCAGAGTGCTCTACCACTCAACTACGTCTCCAGCCCTCTTGATTTTTCATTTTGAGGAGTCTCGCTAAGTTGCTCAGACTACCCTTGAACTTCTGATCTTCTTTCCTCAGCCTCCTGAGTTTTGGGGATTATAGGTGTGCACCACCTTGCCCAGGTCCGGATTCCTTTTTAAGGCTTGAAAAATATTCCATTATATGTATTTACCACATTTCCCATACTTGTTCAGCCATCAATGGGCATTTGGATTTCTTTTCTACCTTTTGACTATTGTAAATAATGCTTCTTTGAACATGGATATGTCAGTTGAGTCTCTGCTTTCAGTGTTTTGGTTATAAGTGTAGGAGTGATGTTGCTAGATATATAGGAATCAGAGGTTTTTAAAAGATGCTATAAGACATTAGTTTGTGTATTACACACATATATAATACATATATATATATATATATATATATATATACATACACACACAGACATACACGTGTGTGTGTGTGTGTGTGTGTGTGTGTGTGTGTGTTTCTCCCCATGCTGGGACTAGAACTTAAGGCCTTGTATATACTAGGCAACCGCTTTCTACCTCCAATCCCAATTTTACATTTTTTGTTCTATCATTTTCTATAGCAGCATGGTAAAATAATATGATCCCCAAATAATAAGCAAAAAAAAAATTATGATTTTAGGTGTTTTAAGCTACCTGAAAGAAACATTCACGCATACTCCCAGTTATGACATGAGCCCCGCCATGCTCAGTGTGCTGGTCAAAATGATGCTTGCACAAGCCCAAGAAAGTATGTTTGAGAAAATCAGCCTTCCCGGGATCCGGAACGAATTCTTCATGCTGGTTAAGGTGGCTCAGGAGGCTGCCAAGGTAAGGCTTCTCAGTTCCTGTGACTCGGGGGGTGGGGGGGGGTGGGCAGAATCCATTGGTGCAGGTGCACTGGAAGCGGCGGGGGTTCCCACGGCAGCAGCTTGCCCACCACCAGGGCAGCGTGCCTGTCCCAGCTGAGGCTGCTGCCTTGTGTTTTCTTGGCAAGTATCAGTGTTTCAGATATGGATCATTGATTCCATCTGCAGCTTGGCCTAAAAACCAGCATAATGACAGTTGCTGATCCCTCTGTTAACTCTGAGGCTGACAGCAGCAGGAGTTGCTTGGCACTGAGCCCAAGTTATGGAGCAGCCTCTGGCAGAGGCTCCTGTATAGAAGAAAGGGATCTTTTTCCTGTACTTAGTTTCATGAGGATCCTTGTGCTGGGCTCCCCCTTCCCAATATCCCTTCTGTTTCAGGTGGGAGAGGTCTACCAGCAGCTGCATACAGCCATGAGCCAGGCRCCAGTGAAAGAGAACATTCCCTACTCCTGGGCCAGCTTGGCCTGTGTGAAGGCCCACCACTACAGGGCCCTGGCCCACTACTTTGTCGCCACCCTCCTTATYGACCACCAGTGTAAGACTTGGAGGCTTCAGGGCTTGGGGCTTTGGTTGGAGGTTTGATCTTGCTGTCTCTAGGGGATTCTGAGCCGAGTATAGCTGCCTTCCTGTCTGGAGATGCTCACAGGCTGAAGGCAGAGGATGGGCAGCACATATTGATCTAGATACCTGTCACAGGCCAGGGCAGCATTAGGGGGTTACAGACTTCTGCTATAGAAGCAAAAGGAGTGGTTTAATTCTCTTTAGAATCAGGCAAATGATTTTTCACCTGGAATTTAGAATCTAAGATGTGCCAACCACTCAGTTTTATTACTGAGTTTAAATAACATTTTAAGGTAATATGTATTTTTTTCTTTTATTTAAATGATGCAGGGAATTGAACCTAGGGCCTTGTGCATGGCAAGAAAGTGCTCTATCACAGAATTACACCCCTAGCCCTTCAGGGGGAGTTTTGATCCAATTAGTACTATTCAGGACAGCCCCCGGAATAATTAAATGGACAGCCTCTGGAGCCAGACTACTTGGGTTCATATCTCAGTTCTGACACACTAGCTGTATGACCTTGGACGAGTTACTTAACTGCTCAGTGCCTCAGTTTTCTCATCTGTAAAATGGAGATACGAAGGGAAACTTCCTTACAGGGCTGCTGCAAAAAAAAATAAGTGCCTGTATTCAAAGCTAAACCATGAAAGTGTGAGCTACTATTTCTAGTACCTAGTCTATTAGGTGGGAGAAGTTAGGTAAACAGATGGAAATACAGTGCTCCAGCAGTGGCTGTCAGGATGTGAATGAGGCAGCAGGTGGACTTACTGGTGCAGACCTAGATGGCTCCTCAGAGTTAGTGATGTTTGTGGCTATTCCAACTACACATCGAGGGAAAGAGCCAGCAGTGCCTGAGCATAGAAGCGGAGGCTAAGAATGTGGAAGTGGTGTTGAGTGGCAGGTGAGGTTGGAGGGGGTGTGGCCTCACCATAGGCATGGAAGCCACCAGAGGTGGTTAGGGTGGGCAGCAACAGGGGCGGGACTGTGCCAGGAGGTTCTAGGCAGCAGATGACTTGGAGGAGACAGTGAGGGCTCAGGGCCCCATCCTGAACTCCTGGAGCGTGGCTGGTACCAGGTGAGCAAAGGCCAAGGGGCTAGCTTGCTTTGACTGTGTCTACAGGCAGAAAGGACACCGATAACCACTAACGCCTGGTAAAATGGGAGATGAAAGGATCCTGGGGATGTGGTTGAAAGGGAAAATCTCTACRTGGGGTGCGGCCCCATCTTCAGAGGCAGATGGGGATTTAACCTGGAGCTTAAATTGCAGTGAAGCCGGGCGCAGATGAGGACCACCAGGAGAAGTGCCTGTCCCAGCTCTATAACCACATGCCGGAGGGCTTGACACCCTTGGCCACACTGAAAAATGATCATCAGCGCCGACAGCTGGGTGCGTATGGGCCCTGCTCCTAGAACTGTGTCCAGTTTGCTGATAAGCAGCCCTGCTCATGAACAACCCTAGAAGAATCTCTAGGTGGGGGCTTGAAAGAGAAGGGTGTCCAGACTCACTGGAGCTACTCTGGATTCAGAAATTATGAGGTGCMACGCTCTAGTCTCAAAGGACTTTCAGAGCTGTGTTCTGATGCATTCCATGAGTGCCCAGGCTACCCCCCATGGAACCAGAGCTTTGACTGTCTCCCAAGACCACTGTGGCCCATGACATGGCCCTTTGCCATCCTAAGGTTGAAGGACACATTGTCAATTTTTTTATGCTTCACCAAGGGCGAGTAAGACTGGTAATGGATTGACCTGGTTTTGTGTCTGTTTTATGTCTCCGTGTGAATATCTCTTTCCCTGATGTCCTTCAGCACCCAAACCTTCCGCCCACCCAAACACATGTAACTTCCCCTCTCTCGGTGATGTCAGCTCCAGCCCATTTGGTGCTTAGGCCAGAAATTTTGGATTTACTCTGCATTCCTGCCTTTCTTTGTCACCTTACATTTGAATAGCAAACATCACATTAACTCCACCTAACATCCCAAATCTAATACTTTTTTTTTTTTTTTTTTGGTGCTAGGGATTGAACCCAAGGGTGCTTAATCACTGAGCCGCATCCCCAGCCCTTTTTATTTTTTATTAAGAGACAGGGTCTGGCTGAATTGATTAAGACCTCACTAAGTTGCTGAGGCTGGCTTTGAACTCGCGATCCTCCTGCCTCAGCTACTATAGTGAGTCACAGGGATTATAGGCATGCACCATCACACCCAGTCTAACTAGTTCTTATCCTCCCACCTTGGTCAAAGCCACATGCTGATAGTGCTTACCTCACAAACATTGGCTTGATTAAACTCCACCTGACTCTATGAGATGGGTCTGGTGGGCTTCCCACTTTACTACTGAGGAAACAGAGGCTCAGAATGGTCATACCACTTACCTTGCTCATAGCTAGTCTCCTTGCTTCCCTCTATTCACACTGAGGCTGGTTACTTCAGTCCTCTGCTTACACCCTGATGGGTTCCCATCTTGCCCACGGTAGGAAGAGTAAGAGTCTTTATCCTGACTCATAAGGTCAGGCACGACCTGGCCCCTGCTCTTCTCTGATCTCATTCTCTGCCCCTCTCTCCTATTCCCCATTCCCTTCAGCCATATCCTCAATTCCTATTGTCCCCCCCACACCTTTTTTCTTGGGGGGGGGGAGGTGCTGGGAATCAAACCCAGGGCCTTGTGCATGCAAGGCATGCACTCTACCAAATGAGCTATATCCCCAGCCCTCCTGTTGTCCTTGAAAGGTAAGTGAGCTCCTGCCCCAGAGTCTTTGCACTTACTGTTCCTTCTTTCAGGAATGCTTTTTATATCATTTCCTTCAGGGCTCTGCTCAGAAGTTACCTTATAAACAAAAATAATTTTAAAAACAAAACAAGTTTATCCAAAAAGCCTTCCTTGATCACCCATCATAGAATAGGTCCCATTCCCAATCTTCCAGCCTGACTTGCCTACCTTGCTTCACTTTTCTTCATAACCTCATGACCACGGATCCACCACATGTATCTTTGTTCCTTAATTATCTGTCTTCAGCTAATAGCATGTAACTTCATGAATGCAAGGGGAAATTTTTGTTCTTTGCTTTATCTGTACACCTAGAATACCCAGTCGGTGTTTGTCGAGTGAACCCTTAATAGTGAGCATTTACACTTGTATCTCAGTGGGGGTGGGGCTCAGCTGTCAGCGAGATCCTTTAGAAAGGAGAATGTTTGCCTTTTGGGCTGATCCTTGGGTCCTTTGTATCTCTGTGATATATTCATGTTGGTGGTGGCTTTCTGCCTACAGGAAAATGCCATCTGCGCAGAGCTGTCACTCACCACACGGAGTCTGTGAGGGAGGCCAGTCTGTGCAAGAAGCTCCGTGACATCCAGGTACTTCAGGAGGTGCTGTCTGCTGCACATCAGCGCTCTCGGCTCAAGTACAGTCAGTACCAAGAGGATGATGATCTTCTGAACTTGATCGATGCTCCTGATATTGTTTGTGAGTGTCTAGAACTAATGTGCCTTTTGTTGCCCGGAGGCCTGTGTCTGCTGTGTAGACTGTGCCCTGCATGGGAAACCAGGGTACCTGGCTAAATGCAGCTTGTATTTGCTCACCCTTCAGAGATTACACAAGCTCTCATTGTGTGGTGGGCCCTGGAGGGGCCACATTTCCAGCTGCCTTCTAGGAAACTGCATTTTACTCTCTTTTACTTCCAGCTCACCAGAGTTTCAGAGCTAAATGCATCATAATTTCCTCTCCTGGGCTTCCTGATAGCCCCTTTATTTTTCATCTTTTATCACCACCAGAATTTCTAAAAATCTCCCAGGTGTTGTGCACAGCGATGGCTTAGGAATACACACATAGCTGAACCAGACAAATGTGGCTGTCCTCCGGCAGTTGGTGGTCACTTCTGCCCAAGAGGGTGGGGAATGGGAGGGCCTCCCTCCAGTGATGGCTTTGCTATGAGAAATGACTAGGGTCTTTCCAGGAATTAGAGATGGGGGATGGTCGGTGGCCCATTTTGGGGAACCCCTTTGTCCATCCCCTCCTGAGTACAGAAAAAAAACTAACTCAAACTCAGTTTCTCCTACTACATGCTCACAGCACGGATTACTCCTGACACTAGATATGTGCAAGGTTTGTCCACACTTCAAACAAACAATCAGTTCTGCAGCAGGTGCCGGCTGGGTGTCCTCTGATCCAGTTCAGTACTGATACTGTCTACCCAGAGATAGCATCAGGTCTCTCAGGTTGAGAACTTGGACACCAGGATTATCCCCGTCCCACCTCAGATGCCAATTATAAACATCATGTTGTTTTACCTGTATTTCCCACAACTCTTTTTCTTTCTTTTTTTTTTGAAAGAGAGAATGAGAGAGAGAGAGAGAGAGAATTTTTTAATATTTATTTTTTAGTTTTCGGCAGACACAACATCTTTGTATGTGGTGCTGAGGATCGAACCCGGGCCGCACGCATGCCAAGTGAGCGCGCTACCGCTTGAGCCACATCCCCAGCCCCCCACAACTCTTTTTCAATTAATTTAACTACAGCCAGGAACAGTAGCACATGCTATTCAGTTATTCAGGCAGTCTGAGGCCGGAAGATCACAATTTTGAGGACAGCCTCAGCAACATAGAAAGAACCTATCTCAAAAAATAATAATAATAATTTGTTAGAACAGCTCACAGAACAGAACTCAAGGAAACCCTTAATTATACTGTTTTGTTTGAAGGATATTACAAAGGATTCAGATGCAGAGATTCGTAGGCTGAGGTCTGGGGGAAGGGACGCAGAGCTTCTGTGCCCTCTCCAAGTGTGCCACCCCCCAGGAACGTCCATGGGATCTCCTCCCCAGGAACTCTCTTATTCCTGTCCTTTGGGGGTTTTATGGAGAATTTCTTTGCAGAGGCATGATTGAAACATGGACAGCCTTGTGGAAATGGGACTGGACACAAAAGGTGTGATCTAATGCTCATAGGCTGGGTGGGGAGACCCAGCAAGGCCTGTGTGCTCAGCAGTCTGCTTGGCCTCTTGATGCCACATGCCTCTCTCAGGGGCAGGAGCCGGACTCCTGGGATGAAACAGGTCTTGTGACCTACTATCAGAGGTCAGAGAATTTCTTTATGGCAGCTTGTAGACAGCTTTCTTAGGAGAAGGTAAGAGTTTTTATGATTTGCCTTGGGGAAGAGATATTCTAGTTTCTGTGGCCTGCCTTGGGAAGGGAGTTGTGAGCCAAGGACCATGGTCAAAGCCAAAAAATGTTTATTGTTATATCTCCCCCTCTTTCCCACACCTGTTCTCAGTCTCTGGGGATCCCTCCTGATATTCAGGGACCAGCTATTAGAGACAGGGTCCTGCTCAAGCCAGAATCCTCGGCTCCTCTGTAATAATGTTAGTTGCTGTCTGTTGAATGTTTGAGGTCTACCAGGCATGACAGTTGGCCCCGTTTGTATACTATTTCATCCCTCTTCCACTGCTGTGAGGGAGGTACTAATTACTGCGTTGTATTAAAGATGAGGAAGTAAAGGCCTAGGGAGATCCAAATTCTTGCCCAGGTCACCCACCTGATGTGTAGAAGCAGGAATAGCACTCAGGGATTCTCCTAGGAGGTAGAGACTTAAATTCCACAGAGGGAGGGAGGTAGGCAGCTCTATTGATGGCAATGCTGCTCGCCCTCCCCCCACTTTTTTTTTTTTACTTCCTGTCTCGAATAGAACTCAGGGCCTCGGGCATGGTAGGCAAGTGCTTTGCTACTGAGCTAAACCACCAACCCAAGCACAACCCTTGTAGCAGATGAGCAGCCTGCCTGAGCCCAGCACTGTGTTAAGGATTTGCAAGAAGAAGCCCCAGGGTCATCCTGTGGTTAGCAGGGTCTGATACACCCTGGTGGGACCTAGATTTTCATTTCATACTGTTGTTCACGTGTATTTAGCCTTCTCTGGGATCCTTTGTTAGAAACCAACTAGCTTTCCAGTAAGGGTGGGCCTGAGCCTGCCATAAGGTCACTGTTGAAGATTTGTAGATAATGATGGATGTGACTGGGGCAAGGTCACTGCCCACTGCAGAATCCTCACATCACATGATTAATGATGAAATCAGGAAGCACAGGACTGTGTTCTGAGACACACAGATCTTCTGTTAGAGCCATACCTGAAACAGTTTGCTTCTCGGCAGGGTTTATGGATGCTGAAGGAATTGCACCAGAGTATCAATTAAGCTCTTGGGGGAGGAGGGATGTGTCTGGTCATCATTCCTCTGTCCCAGCCCTGAATGGGTTATAGCTCCAATCAGGTACCCCGGTGGGAGGCACAGTCACCTGGGGCCACGGGTTGAGACGTGTTACATTTTTTGTACTATTTATCCAAGCCAATGGGAGAGACTGAGAGGGAGAGAAAGTGGTGCTTCCTCTTCCCTTCTGAGGGAAGACTGGATATCTGAGTTTTCGAGGATTCACTTTCTTTTTTTTTTTCCTATTTGTTTATATGTGGTGCTGAGAATCGAACCCAGTGGCTCACACGTGCTAGGCAAGGGCTCTACCACTGAGCCACAGCCCCAGCCCTCAAGGATTCACTTTCCATGATGGAAACATTCATCCTTTCATTTTCAATCTTCTTTTCTAGCTAAAACTGAGCAAGAGGTTGAAATCATATTGCCCCAGTTCTCCAAGGTGACAACCAGAGACTTCTTCCAGAAGCTGGTATGTTGGACATTCATTTAAAAAGAAATAGCTTTTAGATTTTGCATATATATTGTCTTCGTCTGTCCAGGCCATTATTACAAGATACCATAAACCCAGTAGCTTATAATCAAGAGAAACTTAAGTCTCCTTAGTTCTAGCAGCTGGCAAGTCCAGGATCAAGGCACTGGCTGATTCAGGGTCTGATGAGGCCTGCTTTCTGGTTCTTGGTTGACATCTTCTTGCTGTGTCTTCAGACGATAGGAGAGGAGAATGAGCTCCCTAAAACCTACTTATAAGGGCAAAAGTCCCTTTAATGAGGGCTCCCCACTCATGACCTAATCACGTCTTCAAAAGGCCCCACCTCCTAATAATCATATTGATTAGATTTCAACATACAAATTTTTGGAAAGACATAAACATTTAGAAAATAGCATTCCTTAAGAGCCAGTTTTAGATATTTTAGAATTTTATATTAGAAGTTTTATTTAAGATAATTTCTAAAAGCTAATTTTATTTAAAATATATTGGCTATGTTAGGAAAAAAATGGCAATTAATGTTTGTGTATGAGTATGATAGCACATATAGCCCCTGAACAAGGCCAAAGGAAGTCTTCAAGGACAACAGACAACATTCCTTCTAGCTTTCAAATGTCTGATTCAGAGCTGGGCATGGTAGAATGCACCTGTAGTCCCAGCTAATTGGGAGGCTGAGGCAGGAGGATCTCCTGAGCTTGTGAGTTCAAGGCCAGCCTGGGCAACATGGGGAGCTATCTCAAAAAGTCCAATTCCACCTTCAAACCCTACATTTAATGATGATCTCTTTTAAAGGGCCCCCTGTCTGTGTTTTCTGCTAACAAGAGGTGGACACCTCCCCGAAGCATTCGCTTTACAACGGAAAAAGGGGAAGTGGGGTTCACCTTGCGAGGAAATGCTCCAGTTCAGGTCTACTTCCTGGATCCTTCCTGCTCTGCTGCGGTAAGCCTGCCGCTGTCTGGATGGGAGAGAGCCCACCAGCAGCTTTACACAGAATCGGGCTGGGAAGATAGAAAGCAAGCAGCTCAGATGCATACATCTAGGTGATAGAATTCGGGGTTCATGGATGTCAAAGGTCTGACTTGATATGAAAGGCCTCTTGGGTGCTACATGCCCAAAGAGAACTATGAATGAAACTTTGCTCTCTCAAAGCAAAGTTATGCTAAAGTTATACTTTGTTCATGCATCTGGGGACTGAATCAGGTATTTAAATGAACAGAACAAAACACTGACCTTTTTTAAACAATGCTTTTGTAGCTGGCAGGAGCCAGGGAAGGAGATTATATTGTTTCCATTCAAGGCGTTGATTGCAAGTGGCTGACGGTGAGCGAGGTTATAAAACTGCTGAAAAGCTTTGGTGAGGAGGAGATTGAGATGAAGGTGGTGAGCCTCCTGGACTCTGCATCCTCCATGGTGAGCACCCCATAGCAGATTGATATGAAATGGGCGTGAGTTTGGCCTCTGAGGTCTTTTCTGTCTCCCACCTGCATGACGTGACACAAGCAACTGAACTCCTAAGCTTGTCAACCTGAGTATGTGCCCAGTGTGGGCCAAAGATAACTTGAAAATTTTTTCTTTAATCCTGTAAATCAAATAGTTTTCTGATTATATTCTATTTAATTACAGAAGTAATACATACTCATGTTAAAAAAAAAAGTTCAGATGGAGCTGGACCCGGTATCATGTGCCTAAATTCCAGCTACTTTGGAGTCTGAGGCAGGAGGATTGCAAATCTGAGGATAGCTTGGACTACTTAGGAAGACCTTGTCTCAAAAATAAAAATTTTTAAAAATGGGTAGGAATGTAGTTCAGTGATACATATGCAAGACCCTGGCATCTCAAAAAAAAAAAATTTTTAATGGTACAGAAGGCGTTAAGCCAGACCCAATGGCGCACACCTGTAATCCCAGCAGCTCAGGAGGCTGAGGCAGGAGGATCGAACATTCAAAGCCAGCCTCAGCAAAAGTGAGATGCTGAGCAACTCAGTGAGACCCTGTCTCTAAATAAAATACAAAATAGGGCTGGGTATGTGGCTCAGTGGTTGAGTGCTCCTGAGTTCAATCCCTGGTACTCGCCACTACCACCCCCAAAAAAAGGTACAGAAGGGGTTAAGATGTTGTGTGGAGGGCTGGAGATATAGCTCAGTTGGTTGAGTGCTTGTCTCGAATACACAAGGCCCTGGATTCAATCCCCAGCACCATAGGAAAAAAAAAAAAAAAGATGATGTGTGGAAGTTCAGTTCCACAACTCAGAGACAGTGTTATTCATTTCCTATGAGATCTTGGGGAGTGTTTAATGCTTCTGAAAATTCATGTACATAGTTATATCCTTTAATTTTTTTCCTCAGTGGGAGAAACTATATCATAGGTTGTCTTCTGCACTTTACCACACTTAACAATGTAACTTACACTGTCCCTTCTATAACATTTATTCATTCAAAAAATATTGACTGAGCAGGCTGTATATCCCTATGTTAGTCCGTTTTTCATTACTATCACGAAATAACTGAGATAGGATGCTTATGAAGAAGAGAATTATTTAACTCACAGTTTTGGATGATGGAAGTCCAACATCAGGTGACTTCACTGATTTGGTGGCAGCTGGGGACTTTATGGCAGGAGCATGTGCATAATTGAGACATCACATCAAAAAGCAGGAAACAGAGCCACCAGTCTCTTCCAAGAGCCTGCCCCCAGTTGACCTTTGGTCCTCCCAGTAGGTCCTACCTCAGTATTGCCACACTAGTGGCCAAGCTCCCAGCACATGAATCCTCAAGGACAAACCACCTCCAACCACAGCACTGGTGCTTAGGTGTTTGTACTAGACAGAGAAGGTCACTACCCCCTAGAAGCTGGCACTAAACAAGCAAATAACTGGCTGCATTTTGAGAAATTCTGTAAATTGCATGGTTGAATGCCTGAGGGGAGGGAGAAGCTCCTAGACAGGGCTGTGAGTGGCAAGAAGGAAGGAGCCACTGAAGAGCAGAAGAGTGTTATGGGCAGAGGCACCCACAGGTGAAGAGACCCTGCAGCTGAACGAGCTGCTGCCAGGAACAAAAAGGTTGTTCAGCCAGAGCACTGGGGGAGAGTGGGGAGGAAGTGAGGTGGGAGTCTGGGAGCCACTCAAGCTTTCATGAAGGGCAGCGGCCATGGTGTGATGTTTACTTAGAAGGCTGTCCACTGCCTGGAGGCTGGCCCTGGCAATTGTCCAGGCCAGTGACGTTAGTGGCTTAGACTTGGTGGTGGCAGTTGCRGGTAGAGCGAGGTGGATGCACCTGAGGTGCAGTGTGGGGTTAGAGCTGACAGGGTGTCCTGTAAAGAAAGTGTTGGATTGGGGGGAGACGCCTCAGTTTTTGGCTTAAACGAGTRCATGAGCAGTGATTATTTCTCATAAAGTTGGGGAGCTGGGGGCAAGGGAGGAGGAGGAAAAGAGAAGGAAGGGTTGTACTTTGGGTGTTTCAGATGCTTCATCCAGATGTAAAAGTAGGTAGTTGGGTGTTCACATCTTACAGGGAGAAGTCAGGGCTCAAAGTTAACATTTGAGAGTTGTCAGCATGGAGATGATAATGAAAGCTGTGAGACTAGATGAAATCACCCAGGAGGGCTGTGGACTGACCCCGAGACACTCCAACTGTCTCAGATCAGTTAGAAGAAGAAATTGAGAAAGAGGAAATTCAGAGGGAGAGTTCAGAGAGTAGTCAGGCTAAAAGGAGCTTCTGGAACCAAGAGAAGATCCTGCAGCCGGAGTGACCGGTTGCGTTGAATACAGTTAAGAGATGGAGAATCAGGGAGGCTGAGCCCTGTCTTCTGCATCTGGCAGTGKGACAAAGGAACAGTTGTTCTGGACTGATGAAAACAAAAATCAGGTTAGTTGGTACAGTTTCAATTGAGGAAGATGAAAAAAATTCTAGGGATAGAGTGGCAATGATTGTACAATAGTGTGAATATATTTAATACCACTGAATTGTGTGTACATTTAAATATGGTTAAAATGTTAAATTCTGTTATATTTTAGCACTTTTTTTTTTTTTTTTGTACTGGGATTGAACCCACGGGSATTTTACCACTGAGCTACATCCACAACAGTTATTTATTTATTTATTTTTGAGACAGTCTCCTTAAGTTGCTGAGGCTGGCCTTGAACTTGGTGGTCCTCCTGCTTGAGCCTCCCAAGTTGCAGAGATTACAGGTGTGCACCACATCTGGCTACATTTTTTTTAAAGGGGAAAAAAGTTAATAGCAGTGTCTTCATGATGGATTCTATATTGTCTTTAAAGACAATGAAAYTGATCTACATCTACTGGCATGGATTGAAATCTAAGTTCTGTTCATTGAAAAAAGCAGGGTGCAGAATAGTGTGTATTCCTTTTAAGAAGACAAATGGTGAAGTATACTTATGCACACATATGCACATTATCTCTAGAAGTATAACACAGCAGTTACCTTGGAGGGAGGGCCTGGAAACCAGAGGAAGACCTACTGTATTTTCCTATTGTTTACCGTGGTTATTTTACTTTCTCAAAATAACAACCTTAAAAAGTGAGAAATGGTTCCCACACCTAAATTACTACTACTGAGTATATTTCTTAAAAATTGTCCTTGCTTTCAAGGGTCAAATTCTATGTAAGCATTGGTCACCCATGTTTCAGAGTTCATCAGCTTGAAGAGGCTAAGTGCAGACTGTCTCAGACTTTATAATAATTTACTAGGTATCTTGAAGATGGCTGACACCTTTTTTCCTTCCTTTTCTATGTGCAGCATAATAAGAGTGCCACGTACTCTGTGGGAATGCAGAAAACTTACTCCATGATCTGCTTAGCCATAGACGATGATGATAAAAGTGATAAAACCAAGAAAGTCTCGAAAAAGCTTTCCTTTTTGAGTTGGGGCACCAATAAGAAYAGACAGAAGTCGGCCAGCACCATGTGCCTCCCTGCAGTTGGGGTGGCAAGACCTCACATCAAGAAGAAGATCCCCACTCCTTTCAGCCTGCTCAACACTGATAGCTCTTTATACTAATGGGAGGAAACAGAAATGTTCAGGCCCCAAATGYTTCTAGGGCTAACTAGGCCTTAAAATTTGTGCCATATGGAAAATATCCAGATATTGTCAAATCCCATTTTGTCACAGYGTAAACTTGTATTTGACATGCTTTTAAGAAAGTAACAAGAAACCTCTAGMAATTTGTGGAAAATATGCTTATTTGAGGAATGTCACTATATTGCTGCAAGATATTTATTCTATAAAATATTGTAAATAGAATAGTATGGATATTATGGCTGTTTTCAGTGGTTACAGTTATAAATTTCAGGCGCTGAGTTAAATTGGGGTTTCCTATAAAAATAGAACTATTTGTAAGTGTTTGGATAATAATCATTCCTTAACCTAGAGTTCAGAGGACCCTTGAGTTAAGGCAGGTCGGAGGACTATGACAGAATGAAATTTGTTACTAGAAACTGCTCCAAAGAACTGCTTCCTCATGGGAACTTACTAATGTGATAAGATTTTTCTATTATTTCTACATAATATGAATGCTATTTCCAGATAAAGTCTAGTGCCAAATTTGTTTTGACTTTTTTTTTTTTTGGCAGTCCTGGGGATTGAACCCAACTCAGAGCCCTGGGTTAGCCCAGAACTGCCAAAAATAAAACATAAAATAAAATAAAAATAATTTAGGAGCACCTTTTCCTCTAGTCBGATGCCATTTATAAGTTGCTAACACAGTGGCAGTGTTAGATGGAGATGCTGTCTACAGGGTAGATAATATACTGTTTGATACTCAAAACTTTATTTTTCATTTTGTTTAAAGTAGAAAGTACATAACTATATATTTTTAGAGTCTTGGGTAAAAAAGTAGTTTTTATATTTTGTAAGGTAAAGATGTAAATGATTCAGGTTTAAAGTTCTATTTGACTTTTTAAATGAACATTCTTACCAATTTGATTTCTCTGGCTGTAAGTTGGATGACACTGTGACTCTAATTAAAGATTCATGGTTGACATACAAATGACATAGCTTTTAAAGTACAGCTGAAATCTAATGTGAGGATTAACAAGTATTTTCTATTGTGCAATATCTTTAGGGAAGCAACCACCTTTGGGAAAGTATATCTACTGCTATTAGGGCCATGTTTGTATAAATATTTAAATAAACACCTTCATTTACCTGAGTTTTTTTTTTGCTTTTATTTTACTTTAATTCCTTCTTTCAAGTTTTCATTAACCTCATACACAAATTTTTTTTTAAAATTTCTATTAGTTATTGATAGACCTTTATTTATTTATATGTAGTGCTGAGAATTGAACCCAGTGACTCACACATGCTAGGCAAGCACGCCACCATTGAGCCACAACCCCAGCCCATGTGTTTGACTTTTAAAAATTACTAACAATTCATAAAACTGGTTATTTTAATAACTTTTAAAACATATGGTGTTCTTAATTGTGTTTTCAATGGTAGTTATACCTTTTGCTCCCCAGCCCTGACTCTCCTCACTGGATGCAGTTGCTTCTGTTTTCTTGTGTATCCCCCCACTGTTGGGCATTCATCTACAAACACATTCTTTTCTTACTTACATACATTAACTTCTCATCTATAAATGGGGAATTTCACACTCTAGGCTTCCTGYGTTCAGAACACTTGTCCAGTGATTATAAACTGGCCACCCTCCCTCTGCCAAAAAAAAGGAAGGAGAAAATGAAGGAACAAAGGAAGCATGAAAGGAGTTGTGCACTTGTTTATTTACACTGGCAGACGAGACCTGAAGACTAGCACCTCTGAGTCCAAGAAGGAAGGGGCTTAGATACACAGGGCTTCATTATGCATTAGTTTCCTTTTGATGGATATATCCACCACCTGAAAGTCTTTTCCATGACAGATGCAGGTCGGGGTCACTCATAAAAATCTGCCCTAACTGTCTTTTTACTGAGAGTCCCTGACTCTCTTAGGAAGATTTGGGCTATCTTTCCCCCCAACTTAGCAGAATGATGGTATTGCCAAATGAGGGTAACTTAAATTTTCAAACTTGACAGCAAAGCAGCATTACCACAGGCTCCATCAAGGCCTCCCTCAGCTTTCACTAGATGCTGTAAGATTCTATATTTTTGTTTTGTTTTGTTTGGAGTGTGTGTGTGTGTGTGTGTGTGTGTGTGTGTGTGTTGTGATACCAGGTATTTAACCCAGGGACACTTAACCACTGAGACACAATACCAGCCCTTTTTAAACTTTGAGATATCATCTTGGTACACTGCTGAGGCTGGCTTTGAACTTGCGATCTTCCTATCTCAGCCTCCCCAGCCACTGGGATTAGAGGTGTGTGCCACTGCACATGGCTTTTTCTTGTTTTTTGAATATGAAAACCAGATCCTGTAGTTCATGGTCAAAAAAGGGAAAACAATAGATGTGAGGGCAGCTGTCACCTGGACTGGGTGAAGAAGGTGTGGATTTGCTGTGCTACCACTTGTCCTACTACCAGCTCAAGTTCTTGAACAGAAGCGTTACTCAATTCATGGATACTTGGGAACTTCTGAAGCAGAAGGGAAGCTTTAACTTTTCCAACTCCTGGGATCTGCTGCACCGTTCGAAGGAGGTATGGCTCAGACAGCAGAGCCCGTTTTTTCTTGAGGAAAGGGTTCTTACTGGGTTCTTTGGATTGCTCTTGTACCTGAACCAGAAATTAAGGGAAAAACACATGAGTGCCCTCTAGAGGACCAGCAATTTTTAAAAAATAGTTTTCCATTTGGTTCACCTTGACTCATGGGTTTAAAAGTTTTTATACACCATGTATATAAATTTTCAGACATTAGTGAAATTATTAAAAGATAGACCATATGACCACACAAATAAGAAAGAGGTAAAAATACTTAGCAAAACTTGAATTTTGTGCTAGGTTAAATGATGGCTACGTCTAAATAAGATCTACTTCAAACAACCTATCAAGCTTGCCTTTCCAAGGAGAAATTTAGCCTTTAGTTACTGGAGTTTTCCCAAGGCAGATATTAGCATTATAATCATGGGAAGTTAGGAACAGTGAAGAAAGTGGTGTAGTGGAGAGGAATCCAGGAACCATATAGTGCCACTTGCATTTCCAATTTGGTTTTCAACCCTAGCTGCAAATCGGAGGCAGGACTTAAAAAACATACACAAAATCAATGTTCAGGCCCTACCCCCATGTTCTAATTTTTAATTGGTCACAGTTGAGGTTCATGTATCAATTTTTCCCCCCAGTGCTGGGGATTGCTCCACCACTGAGCTATATTCCCAGCCCTAAACTTTTTAAAAAGTTCCAGAAGATACATAATGAACAATCCAATGGAAAAATCAGTGAAGACAATGGAGAACCAATTTTTTTCTTTTAAATGTTTATTTAGTTGTAGATGAACACACAGTATATTATAAACTTCCTTACTTCAATTTCTCAAGTTTTGATAAATCAACACAAGGAAAGACATTGGATTCATGGGTTGCAACTATGGCAAAGGTAGATGCCAGAGTCAAGAAAGGATCCATAAAGGTCAGTTGAGAATCTTAATGAGGACAGGGCAATTGTGAAGGAGGAAATCGGTACTTACTAACTGAACAATGAGGCAGGATGCTTCTATCTGGTTGGCCACCGGAAGTAACACCATCCCTAGGTCCAGCACAGTAAACTTCTGGATGGCTGGGAAGTACTGTTCATTTATCTGTGTTTTTACAACTACTACAATCCCTTGAAGGTTACCAGACTTCAAAGAAAAGACAGTAAATAATTTTGTAACAAAAATCCCTTTCAAAGTTAAGAAAGCAAAAAGGAGGACCTAGGGAGAAGTGGGAGGGAAGGGTAATGGGCAGTACTGAAAACGAAATTGACAGCTATGCATACATACAATTGACAGCATGCATATATACAAATATTTAACAACAAATTCTACTACCTTGAATAATTATAGTGCACCAATAAATAAAACAACAAATACAAAGCTAGAAGGTGGTTAAATTGGCCCATAGTATAACATGTAAATTGTTCCAAGGGATAGAGAGTCAATGTTCAATTTCAGTTTCTTTTAATTCAGTACTTACATTTCTAACTCGAACAAGTCTTTTTCTGTAGCCATTTYCTGCCACCAAATCAGCTTCAGTAACATAAAGAATGCAGGATCTGCTGGACAGGTAAAAATCTACTGGTGTCAGACCATCCTCAAAGACGAGTTTAATTTTTCCTTAAAATACGAAAACAAAATGAGTTCTGTGAACTCTGAATAAAAAGGCGGCAATATGTAATTTTTTTTTTTTTTAAATGCGCGGAGGAAGGAAAGGACATTTGACAAGCTGCCCACCGACCTTGCATCCCCTGTGCCAGCTGAGACCCTCGCCACTTCTCATTAGCTACAATATGCCCAAAGGGCACGTGCACGGGGCCTGTTCCTCCAGGGAGATTCTTTTCCATCGGTGGTCTGGACCTAAAGTGGGAAATGCAAGACGACACTAGGGCAAACTCTCGCGCACAGGGTCCCCCATTCCACTATGAAGCTCCGGGCCTCTTGGTCTCTCAAAGTCTTAAGAACCCGGAGATTTCTGCCCTCGTGAGCACCTCATTTTCAGCACCTGCCTAGGCCCTGGTGCCCCAGCTCGGCTCGTGCWGAGGCTGCTCAGTCCAGTCCGGAATTAGGACCCAGGAGGCAGGGACCCCACTTTCGCCCTGGTCCAGAGGTTCCCGAAACATTACCCGAGGCTGCCGCACTTCCGGATTCCAACCCGCCGGGCTCGCCTAGTTTTTCATTCTACCCGCCTTCGGCCTTCCACAGTGCCAGATAGGCTATGGTATCCGAGACGAGCACCTGAGGTGACCAATAAGAGAGCTGAAAGCGTGGACCGCTTCCTCACTGGTGGATATTTAAACGGGACCCGCTAGTTGCCAAGAGCGACGGAGGTGGAAGTAACCTTGGCTCTGATTGGTCAAACACCAAACACAGCCAATGGCAGGCGAAGTTGTTTTGAAGTCCTTTAGGGAAGAAAAAGCGTCTGGAGTTMGGCCCTTGGGAGCGAGACCGATATTTAAAGAGGAGTCCCCAGCTTTGGGGATCTATGCTTGTAAATCCAGCCCCGGGCCTGGCCAACCCCTGCAKCAAGGATGCTCCGGGGATTTCGGARAAGCCGCAAGAGCCAGTTCGTAAGTAGATTCAGGCCCTGCGTCCTGCGCTTTTGTCTGTGCGGCCGGGAGTTAAGGAGGGAGAGTTTCGGGGAGGGTTTGGTATTTGGCCTGGGATTGAGACAAGGCGGCGGCACCAGGGGAAGTGGTTTTTAGTTCGAGAAGTCCTAATTAGTCAGTTCTAAAGAACCATCTACC